TGCGGGTGCGGGTGTGGGTGTGGGTGGGTGGGTGTCTCTTTCTGCGAATTTGTTAATTGCGCAGTCCGTGGGACACTGTTTCGTGCAACGTCAACAAGAAGTATGCTTAAACCGCAGCGCTGAATCCATGCATAGATAGCGTTCCGATTGTAAAGCGCAGCCGGTCTGCGTGGTGTGGCAAGCCTGCCTCTAGGACTCCGATTTTTCTCAACGAGCAGGATGAAGTTGGATTAAACGCCACTGAGAAGTACAGTACCCGCTGATCGCTGCTGTTCCAGGCTGCTCAGTTACCTGCATGATTCTTGGGTTGCTTCTAGCTATCTCTGCATCACTGCACGCGCGCCATCCACGAGATCGGCCCGGGGGCCCTCACCGGCCGACTTGGCATCGAGGGGGAGGGAGGCGCTGAAGGCGTGCCTGACAACTACGATTTGCAAAGCTCGGGTTGCCAGTGCGCACATGGCTACCTCACGCACATGGCAGTCAGAGATGAGAGGGAAAAGTGTGTAACTCCTGGCCAAGCACACAGAGCCCACGGCCAGAATTGGAAGCCACCTGTGTGGAAGGGACACTCAACGCCAAGCGCATCCCAGCCCAATGGAAACTCAGCCTCAAGTTCGGCCGCTGGCTGCTCGACATTCACGGTGCCGCTTCCCTGGCTTCATCATCTTTTCAGCATAGCATTGCAGTGGTCAAGATCCGGACAAGAAGCAAAAGGGGATGTCGAGGCGTCCAGGGCTTTCTGGCCTTTGTAGCGAGCTCTCCGAGTCTGTCGCAAGCCAGCTCCGAGGGCTGCAGTGTACGCTCTGTGATGGGCCTCAAGAAGGCAACAGCTAGTAAGAATGCGGTGCATCATGTGAGATGCTGAAGTTGGACCGGAAAGCTTGAGTGTAGCTCGAGACCGCAAGCAAAAAAAACACGCTGCAGCCGAATAACCCTTCCATCACACTATTGCATAATTAGTTTAATTAGTTCTGGTGAGCGTAAAAACCAAGACCCGGTGGTTAGTCACGGTTAGTCAAGACCGAAGTGCAGCACTTGCACGAAACACTTCCTCATCCTCTCGAGACTTGCTGGCCCGAAATTTCCCAAGTTTATCTGCCTTTGCTAGGGGTCGTCTGGGCCGTTGGCACGGCGTCACTCGGAAAAGGAATACCCAAAGGCAATTGCATGCTTTGCAGGACTGCGAACTTCGTGTTACCAGTGTCATGCCAACCTTGCGTAGGCGTAACCCTTGTCAAACGCCCAATACTCAGGCTGCAGCACATGCAACGCTGATCCTGCAGCCTCTTCGCGTTCACCAATTCTTTGCTGAAATCTCGACTCGAGGCTGGCCTTGTGACGCTCCGCTTCTGACCTGAGGATCACTTCGCCCTTCAATCGACAACTCGTGGCCTCACAGCGATCAACAACGAGGCGCGCCTCGGAGCTTCTGGAACTCCGCGCCGCGCGGGGAGGTCCTAACGTTGGACCGCATTGGCTTCACTCGCAGCCGCAAGCTCATGCGCCCACCTGAACTCCCATGTCAGCTGTTGAACCAAGTCGTTGAAACCTGAAAGCCGTCGCAGTGCGCAGGTCCCTGACGTGATTCTGCCGCAGGCTCAGGATTCAACAGCTTCGCCAAATCAGCCTGGCCGAGGGTGTGCAGGGCCGATAGCAAGCAGCCCAGGCCGAGGAATCGACCGCCAAGTGCGGCCTCCAGCTTGTCGATGCGCTGCTCGTGGTGGGTTGGCCTCGTTGCCTCAGTATCCCTTGGTGTGATTCAGTGCTTATCGCTCGGGCGTCTCTCATCTCTTTCAGCGCATGACCCGCTCCCAGTCGTCAACCTCGCACGGGCAGCGGACTTTTCCCATCGTTTCCCACGAGTTGATGCAGTGACACTCAACTGCCAGGTGCAGGACATCCCGCAATGCGCGCTGCAGGTCCTGAGCGGTCGAAGAGGCTTTCAAGCCTTCTGCGAGGCACCAAGACTGTCTGTGTGTTTCAGGCGCAAACAATCTGCATACTCTGAGATTTAACACGAGTGAAGTCCTGCGTCGTCTGCATCCCTGTCTCCCCCTCCGAAAACTCACAGGTCCATCTCTCTCCTTTCCTCGCTTCTCGGGACTAAGTCACCTGCACGCATGCCACAATTCTGTGTTTGTCCCTCCTTGCCTCTTACTTCTTGCCTCGTGCCTCCCGGCTTCCTCTCAGAGGGAGGGCGTGTCAAAAAGCTTTTACGGGGTTGTGGAATTCCAAGACGTGCAGGCTAGCGGCCAGTGGGAACATTCCTTCGCCATCGGGAAGTCTCATTCTCTCACCCTCGAAGGCTGGGAGGGTCGGGCGTCTGCTCTTGGCTCCGGGCTGCCTCGGCGATCCTGAGGCGTCCTTCCAAGGCCAAGGCCTCGGTGCGCAAAGCCATGAAGAGTTCTCTGAGCTCCTTGCCGATCACGTCGGAAAAAAGTGGCCCTGCCTCCGCCGGGCGGGTTGGAGCACAGGCTGCCGTGATCCTGCCATCCTTGAAAGCCTGCAGCTGCTGGCCCACCTGGCAGGTGCACACTGAGAGACATGTGAATAGATAAAGCCAGAGAACACCAAAGCAAAGCTGACGATGCACCTCCGCCTTCAGCTCAGAGGTCATCTGCTCAGCTGCCTGGCAAACTGGCAAACAGCTGGGGAAATTCGTATGTATGCGTATGTGTATGTGTAAGTGTTTGCACATGCGAGTGCATGCATGCATACATAGATACGTAGATGCATAGATGCTTATTTGGGTGTTTACATACAAACAAACAAACAAACAAACACACATACATACATACATACATACATACATGCATGCATGCATGCATGCATGCATGCATGCATACATACATACATACATACATACATACACATACACACTCTCACACACACACGCACACAAACATACATACATACATACATACATACTTACCTACTTACTTACTTACTTACTTACTTACTTACTTACTTACTTACTTACTTACATTTTGCACTCGCTCTCGGTTCTCGGCGACGCAGGCGAGTTACAGGGCAGCACTACAACTATGAGGTTGCTCTGCCGAGAAGAGGGCACCTGGCACATCAAATTACCATGCACTACTTTACATTACTTTGCATCTGTTTACATTACCTTACATTTCTTTACATTAGTTTCAACTACTTACGCACCCTGCATACAGCGCATAACATGGATACATACATAATACATACATGCATACATACATACCGTACATACCCTACACACATTGCACACATACCACACATGCTTGCTTGCATGCTTGCAGACATGCATGCTTACATGCATCCACACATGCAGGTATGCATGCATGCATGCGTACATAACAGGCATACACCACATATATACATTACACACACCGTACATGCATACACTACATGCCTACAATGCATGTGTACACTAGATGCAAACATTACATGCTTACGTTACCTACCTTGCACCTATCACGTTGCACTTCATTCCAGTACATGCGTGCATTCCGTGCATACATTGCGTGCATACACCACATACATAGGTTGCATGCGTACGTTAGATATACTGCATTACTTTCCGTTCCATTACAGAACAGTACACTACAATGCATTACATGCCGTCCATACATACATACCACAATGCACTACAGTCGTCCTCCATCCATGATAAGCCTACACATAGATAGCTAGGTGGATGGATGGCGGGATGGATGGATGCATGGATTGATGGATAGATTGTGCACCGGCACCAAGGTCGCAAACATCCAGCTCCATTTCAGCTGTCACCTCCAGAACCTCGGAGTGGCGCTTCGAGAACTGGGCCACGAGCCGCCTGTCGCAAACAGTCGGAAGTGGCATATTCAAGCTGCTGCAAGAAAGCTGCAGTATGTGTTGTACAATAATTTCAAACTTAAGAAATACACTGGACTATAACACATTGACACTGCATGGCAGTACATCAATTTGCTTAAATAGTGCTACATTGTACGGCGGTAGACTAAACTTTCATAGAGTACAATGTAATATAGCGCACTAGGACATGTGTCGTTTCTAAAATCTTGCCTCTTTTTGTATATCAAGAGAAGTACATGGTAGTACATTGGAACATACTAGATGCACTGTCACAAAACAATATGCATGATCATGATGTAGTATAACAGGTTATATTACATGATATCCGCCGAAAGCCTCCGGCGTCTTGACCCCCCCCCCCCTCCTCTTCCTCCTCTTGCGGCAACACAGGCGGTTGAAGGTTTGGCTAGATGGCTCAGCGAGATTATCCGAAAAAGTCCAAGAAGGGAGACCAGCAGTAGTCGACTTATGGCCTGCTTGGTGCCCTGAAGGACAGGGAAAAGTTGTCGACAAAAGACGTTCATCTCTCGTATTCGTGGCCTCAATTCTCGAACGTCCAAAGCAAGTTGTTGCACGAACTGACACTGCAGGTGGTGTTTACAGACGGCGAGAGGTTGATCCAGCCAAGAGCTTTAACCCCTGTTCCCGCTAACCCGTCACTCGACCACAAGACATTTTCGAATTTTAGCTACGAAGCGAATAACTGCCCGGGAGGGGGCTGCTGAACCCTCGAGCAGCAGCGGGCTGCGTAGCGTTAGACTTATCACAAACGAAATCTGTGATAGCAACTTCGCGAATTGAATGGTTCATTGACTGTTAACCCACATCATTCAATCAGTCCAATCTAGTTGCTTAACAACTGCTTCCAGCCTCTCCAAGACATGCAGATCGTGGTCGAGAGATGCCTGGACCTGCTCAGAGGGAAAAGCGCGCACACACATGCACCGCGCGCTGCATCCCGCGACAAACAGTAACCAGCGAGAGGGCACGCTGCAAGCATCACAAACCAAAGATCTAAAGCAGCTGCCATGGTGTCGATCTTGACTTCTAGGTCCTGTGGGGCGCACTTTTTGGGCACTGGTTGGGCAGTCTGCGTGGCTTCATGCAGAATAGAGGTCTATGTCCTTGCACCAACGTCCAGGAACGGCAAGGCCTGGGATCCGATCAGGCATGGACACAAGCAGGCAGCCTGTTCAGACGAATTCTACCGTCTTCGAAGCTTTTGTGACGTCTGCACACTTTTCGCACTAGTGCTTCTGAGACGAGTCCGACATCGGCATCGGCATGTCAAGAGTCCGACTTTCAATACGTTGGGCAAGCTCACGGCATTTTGCCTGGCACGGCGGCTCTCTGGCCATGGCCAGCAAAACAACTTCCTAGATGCGTCGTATACATCCGAGCGACCTCCGCTTCCACGCGCACCGCTGCAGTTGCCGCGGTTGCAGCCTCTCGCAAAACCCTACCCTGGCCTGTTCACCGTTGCAACAGATCCCCAGTTGCTTCTCTGTCAGCTCAACCCATCCCAGAGCATTCACAAATTGTTTTTGTCGTCCTGCCTCGATGCCATCGCGGCCACACCTGCCAAACTGAGGACACTCTCGGTGAAAATCACCAACAGCAAAGGAGCTCGGCAAAGGAGTCGTCATTTCCTCATGCACCGAACTCGCGAACTCAGGGGCCTCGAGGAGGCTGCTGCTAAATCCGCCGCAGAAGCCACAGCCTGCTCACTCAGCAGGTCCTAATTCCCATGGTTCTGGGCCTTTAGGCAGAGAGTGGCAAGCAACACGAAGCAAGTCCTATAGAGGCTGCTACAAGACTAACAAAGGTGGGAGTGCCACGGAACCGATTTGCAGTCTCCTAGACTAGGCGCGCAGCAGGGAATCCTAATCCCAATAAGTTATAATGGAAATTAGTACTAGCGGTGGCTTTCGGGAAAGGTTGCTGCACACTGTGCAAGGCGCGTGCGCAGGGGCCGGCTCCCTCCCGAACCATCGACCAATGCAGCAGTGCACGCAGACACACGCAGCGAAGGTGCAGAGTCTGCGGAGTGCTGGGTTCACAGCGGCCTTCTCCATGGACTTGAACCGCGCGTCGAAGCCTGCTCCGTCTCTTCTACTTGAACTGCCCGCGTCGACGTCCCATCTCAAGATGCAGGAGCGCCTCTGATCTTTCGATCCAGATCGCGCAACCTGCCCATACGAAGGTCTGTGCGACGCAATGCTCGCATGCTGTTGGGGCTTGGCGATGCTCCAGGCCCGAAGAGATCAAGTCGGAATTGGTACCCGATTGCAGATCGCTTCCAGTGCCAGAAGCACGTCTCGTAGAACTGTGATCTGCTTCGTGTGCCGAGTGTTGGTGTCGCAATGGGGCAATGTGTAGTAGCAAGCAGGAAGCATCTCGCAGTTGCACTCGGCATTCAGCATTCATCTGTTTGGCTATGACCTCGGTGATGCGAGAGATGTCTGCTCATGACTGCATTAACATTACAGATTGTCGGTTTTCCCTGCTGACTTCCCGGTTCCGATTCCTGTGAAATCGAAGAGTATAAACATGTTGTTGTTTGTCTCTCTCTGCACAATGCCAGTCCTGCTGAGCGGTTCCGGCAAATCCCATAAGTGCAGCCCCGACGCGTACGCGCATGCACCGCATGCAGCTCAAGCTCTGCTGGCTCCTGTCACATCGACTGTTACTTATTACTACTATTATGTTTCTTCTTCTTATATATATCTATAATAATCAACATTATTATGATTATTCATCATGAATACTTATTATCGGTTGGGTGGCTGATGATTTGCGAGTGTCGGCCAGCTCAGTGCCGCGATGTAGCTCTCCTCCTGCGGCCGGGGTGAAGCGCGAGTAGACCCCGTGGCTCGTAACCTTTGACCTCAGCAGACAACACAGCATAGCATAGCGTAGCTAGATACGCTGAAAAATGACGAACGAGAAGGCACCTGCTGTCCATGCTGCGTGCACAGGCGGGATCCATTCGCAGTGACACTGTCTCAGTCCCTGCTGATGCGCTGAATGAATGTCTATATATGTCCAAACATGCCGATAAAACCAACCGCAAGCCGCAAGTGCTCCACGCTCTTTACGCTTTGCACAGCCGTGCATGCGCTGCTGCTTCTTAGGCAGCCCGTAAGAAGGCCCCCGCTCATTCGAGCGCTAGCACTTCCTGGGCTCTCCTGACAGCTGAGCGAGGACACTTGCTTTTGACACCGGTTTCGTGCCTCGGCCACTTTTTCGCGAGCTTTCCCTTGGCGAGAACTTTGCTTTTCCCAGTGCAACTTGTCATACGTTCTGCAGCTGCTGTTGCATCGAGGGTGCTGGTGTGTGATGGTAGAATTACCAGCTCCACGGATAATTCCCATACTCACGTATGCAGGCTGAAGCCGAGTCTTGTTGACTCGTCTATGGAAACTGCTATGACTATGACTATGATTCAGACTACTTAGTACTTTGCTTCCTGCGTTGCTGAACGAGTCGCAGGCAGGTTGATGATTCAGAATATGATAATGACGGTCAGGGGCACTACTTTTACTATGCAACTCCAGGCCGCGCACGGGGCGTAAACTGCGCCCGGGCTCTCAGCAGTGCTAGGTTGTCCTCTGCGAGACTCAAGGGCAGATCACGACTTGCCAGTGACGGCCAAAGTCTCCTCCGCCTGCTGGAGGAAGCCAGCTATAGTCGGGCTAGGCCTCAAGCAGCTTAGGTACCGAACCTGCGCTCTCATCGACCGGTTTTGATCCGGTTCTGTGAGAATGTAATTACCCATCTCTTCCACTGACAGTTGAACAATTGAGCGAAAATACGCAAGCTGCTCTAGCAAAAACAGAGAATGCCACAAGCTTGACAAGCGCGTGCACGCTGGACGGCTTGTTTTGCTGGGCTTCAAGCTGGCACATGGTGCGGTGTGCAAGGAAACCTCGGTCGCATGACCCATGCAACTCTACATGACGGAGCGGAAGTACGAGTGCATGACGTAAGTCAGGCCAACATCATCGAGGAGATGCGTGCACGCTGGGAAGCATAAGCCGACAGGACTTGGGTCAGGACTTCGTAGCACAGATGGAACTTAACAGCACTTGCAGCCATTCCAAACGACAATAGAAACGGGGTCGCAGTTTCGCTTGCGAGCAATCGACGACAGTTCCAGTCCACAGATGATCGAAGTAACTCACGAATTGTGCAGGGTAGGACGAGGCTTATATGCCCAACTGTCTCCTTATTCCGAGTGTCACCTTTACTCGATTCTACAGTGTAGCAATGTACCAAAGGCAACGCTTGAGGTGTCTACTGGCACTTGGTGCTTCACCCTGCATTCCTCGAACATGTGCCTTTGCACATGCGCGGGGATTGGCAAAAAAGATCGCCTGCATGGTTGCCACGCAGTAAACTGTTGGGAAAAGGGCGCAGCCACTCGGCCCCGATACTTTCTCCGTTCGTGGTGCCTGTCCTTGACACCCTCTCAGGCGCAGGAGTTGCCGAAGTGGTTGCAGCACCAGACCTGCGGCCCAAGGGTCGCAATCGTCAAGCCCACTAGGCCCATGAGCAGCCGCGACAGCCCTACGGCCCTTCGGGATCCTACGGGCCTGCTTGGGATGGGACCAGCCCGCTTGCCAGTTGGCGACGCCAGCCTCGGTGCGCTGCACGCGAGCATTGCGCCGGCACTTCCACTTGCCAGCTCTAAGCGAGGAGCCAAGCAGTTGAAGGGCAGGTGCCCGTGCGAGCTGACTTGCACCCAGTGTCCGCCTCCGCCTGGCGATGCGAAGCCGGGACTGCCGGGACTGCCGCTTGCCTCCGGTTTGATGACCTCCGGCGGTGCTCCAGCTCCACATCATGCCGCTGCCCGCAGCGGACGGGGGATGCGCGTGGTCTGAGCAGGCACGAAAGACCCAGACGCTTCTGCGGACCCCTCCATCACTCGGCGGATGAGGCTCCCACTGTAAAAGCCACCGCCGTGGTGGACGACGTGGTGCACGACGACGCTGCCTCCTGAGACGAGGGCCGAGACGAGGGAAACATGCGCACGTCGCAGCAGGAGAGTTTCCATCAAAAAATCCGGTATAGCACGCGTCCCCACATCAACGCCGAAATTCATCCCTTTGCAGGACACGTCTTTACACCGGCCAACACTGACAGTTGTTTGTTCCCCAAAAATTCTTTCTCTTGAGTGCAAGGGGGTGCAGCGGCATGCAGGTGGGGCGGCATGCAGTTGGCATGCAAGTAACAGCATGCAGGTGAAGTCGGCACTATGGGTGGCACCCGATGCGGAATGTACCCAATCCTCCAAGGAAAAAGTCTGCTTGCCGTTGCATGTGACATGATGGGACGCAAAGCTAGTTGTGATTCAGTTTCAAGCCCCATGACGTCCGAACCGAATTGAAGCCAAACTTCCAACCGAACTCAACTTCGGGAGTGTTTCGAGAAGCGGCCAGGCTAATCTCGCAGCTTCCCTTCGGGGCGCCTGCCACACCTCCTCCGGCGGCGGCTCCGCCTTCGCATCCAAGCTGTTGGTTGGAGCAGCACCAGCCCTGCACAGGGCGAGTCTCTGGGCTCTCAGTCTCTCTCGGGAACAACTATGGGCCTTCTTGCCCGGGGACCAGCCGGTACGCCAGTTGTGCATGCCGGCGTGGCAGTCATAGGGCAGGCTGGCGTGGCCGTGGCTGTGCACCGCTGTCCAGGTCCAGTAGCCGTTCACCTGCCACGAGCATGCGGCGATGCTGCGATGCGGCGCCAAGGCAACCCTGCGAAAAACACCAGCCTGGACGTGCTTCCAGACCATGCCGTAGCCGGCATCGACGGAAGGCGGGTGGTGGCCCTCGCAGCCCTTTCCCTGCTTGGTGCAGCACCAGTGCTTCTTCTCCGGGGACCAAGCCTCACGACAGTCTTCCCGGACAGGGAAGGCGGTATGAGCGTATGCTATACATGTCCACAACCCACGCACAATCACGCACACTCGGGGCATCAGTCAACACAGGCCAGGCGACCCTGAAGAAGTTGTTGATGGCAGCGTTGCAGTCGAAGGGCAGTGAGCC